TTTGAATTTGTTTGCAACCCCGCCAATCAAGAAAACACATTGGATATACTAGCCAGTTTTGTTGTTTTTAAAAAGTTTTTTGTTTTTTCCCTCCTTGGCATCTCTGGTTCGTTTGAAAAATATCTTTTAAGATCAGTGTTCTATTAACTGACCCGTCATCCAGTGGAAACAGTTATACTTGATTTATTTCACCTAATAAATCCAAAAAAAACTTCTGGTACTCCTCTCTTCAAAAACCTTAGTTTCTTCAGTACATCTACATAATTGTAATCCTTCATCCTAGAGCTGTTGTACTGAATCTGATTTGCAGGCTAATAATTTTTGTGGCCATTGGAAAGCATGATTTGCAATGGAATTTTTTTTTTTCTTTATGAAAGCGGTGCAGTCTTTGTCTAATTAATTTACGAAATTTGTTTTCATTTTGCTTCATTATCAAGCAGGATGTGCTGCTGTTTCAACATTAGAGAAGTTAATGGTGGGAGATAGATTGGAATGACTAACTACATGGACCTAGCACAGGAGCCAGGAGTTTGAACAGTGTATGGACAGAGACACAAATGGGCCAGAGGGTTGAGGAGCAATGCTGTAGTAGAATTCCTGACTCCATATACCTATTGATCAGCAGGTGAGAATGTTAAGAAGCAAAACATTAAACAATGGACAGTATCTAGGAGAAGTCTATAGTTGGAGCATGTAATGGCCAGACGAGTTGAGTGAGTGGGCAAAAATCTGGTATAGTTGTGGGAATGTTCACCAAAGATAATGTAATGTTCAGCACCATTCGCGACTTCTCAAATACTGAAGGAGTCCATGTTCAAATGCAACAAGATCTGGACAATGTCCAGGTTGGGATGACAAGTGACAGGTAACATTTGCCCCACAAATGCCAGGGAATAGCCATTTCTTATAGGAGACTGTCTAACCACCGCCCTTTTACATTAAATGGCATTACCATCATTGAATCCCTCACTATCAGCATTCTGGGGGTTACCATTGACCAGAAACTTAACTGGACTTGCCATATAAATATAATGGCTACAAGAGCAGGTCAAAGGCTAGGAATACTGCAGCAAGCCATTCACCACCTGATTCTCCACAGCCCGTCCATCGTCTACAAGACTTGCATTGGTAGTGTGATAGAATAGACCCCACTTGCCTGCGTGAGTGCAGCTCCAACAACACTCAAGAAGCTTGACATTATCCAGGACAAAACGGCCTGTTTGAGTGGCACCACAGCCACAAGCATCCACTACCTCCTCTTCTTAGTGGACAGCAAACCAAGAGGCAAAATATGCTGATTAGACTTCACTTTTTAAAATACTTCACAGAAAATGACAGAGTTTGGGACCTGTACAGCAGTAGCTGTAAGTCATTAAACTTGAAAGTTTTCTTTATTATATCAAATCTGGCTTTATCATCTGGAGAAATTTGACATTTCCACCGATTTTTGTTTTTTTTTTGAAAGGTTCTCTTCCTGGACCAGAGAGCTTGCTTCTAAGAAGTTGTGATTTATTGCATGAAAGTTCAGCTACACCTCATTAACAAGGTGCATGTTTTACAGTAGTATTTAAACAGGAGTAATACAATATGAAAAGGGAAGTTCCCCAGTTCATTGGTTTCTAAAGATTGCTGTTTGTTGTGTTTAACTGCACACAAGCTGACACCAGAAGTTGCTGCCAGTTTCATGAATATTGGTGGGGTAGAATCAATGGGCCAAATGGCCTCCTTCTGCAATGTAGGGATTCTATGCTGCCAACAGCCCCATACCCCACCCCTTCCCTAGCATATATACCAACATTATCCTAACTACAATTGATTCTGAAGAAAGGTCACTGGATCTGAAACATTAATTCTGCTTTCTCTCCACAGATGCTGCCAGATTTCCAGTAATTTCTGATTTTTCTTTTTAAATGTCCACACTATGACTAAAATCTCAGCCAGTCCAACATGAATTACACCCTCCTCTTTAAATGCAAGATTACTTTTTTAAACTTTTACATTTGCTCTCATGTTCCAAACTTCCGGCAGTTTTTTTTTCAGAAATAGGTTTTACAGTGCGTCCTGAATACAGGCAGGTCATACATTTGCCCAGGAAAATTCTCATAATTTTCTTTAAGAACTTAAAGTCCTGTTGATGATCAAAAAAAGACTCAAACTCTGTCTGTCTCAAATATTGGACACTGAAAGCCTGCCTGGCTGCTTTTCTTTATTCGTTCACAGATGAGGATATTACTGGCTAGGCCAGCATTTATTGCCCAGAAGGCACTTAAGAGTCAACCATGTTGCTGTGAGTCTGGAGTCACATACAGGCAGGACCAGATAAGGATGGCAGCTTCCTTCACTAAAGGATAATGGTGAACCAGATGAGTTTTTCTGACAATTGGTAATGGATTCATGGTCATCATTAGACTCTTAATTCCACTTATTGAATTCAAATTCCACCATCTGCCATGGTGGCATTCACACCTGGGTCCCCAGAACATTACCTGGGTCTTTGGATTAACAATCCAGAGATTATGCCACTAGGCCATCGCCTCCCCTTTTGCGTTTTGTCAGGTGTGAGAATTTTTGTACTTTGCGCAAAGGATCCCAACCTGTCCCCACGGTGACCAAGGCACCTGATCTGTTGTCAGGCAGAATTTTACAACCTACCAATATCTTTTCCAGGGTATTAATGTCTTGCATTAAACCAGAAATGTTACATGCTACACGTCTGTAACATTGCTTTCGTCAGCTTTACAGACCCAGATTTGCTCCCAGTGTCCCAATTCCTTAAATTTTCTTTATGTTCAAATTCAGTTGGCTTGCTGTCCTTTTTATCTGTATAACCTCCTTGAACCACATTGATGCTGACTCTTGTACATTCCACAATTCTATTGAGCCAATATTGTAGTCTGTACCTTCATTTGAGTTTGGCCGTAAGTTCTGGAGTGTTCTCTCTAAAGCCTCCCTTCCTCCCAATTTTTCTCATTATGACACTTAACACTCCCCTAACTCTGACCTATCATTTGGTCACCTGAACTGATGTTTTCTTGTAATTTAATTCTTAAATTTTAGCTATTGCAAAGCATTTTGGAATTTTTAAAATATTAAATATGCTATATAATGGTAAACAATTTGTAAACTTATTTTTAGATGATTGTACCAGAAATGTTTTCATATTTTCTTAATTTTCATCACCCTTCACATTTTCATAGGAATTGTTCAGGGTATCTAAACCATTAGTTAGGACACTGGGAAGGTCATTGGAAAGAGGGATCTCAGGGTGCTTGTCCACAGATCTCTGAAAGTGGAAGGGCAAACTAATTGGGTGGTTAAGGTGGCATATCGCACAGTTGCTTTTTATCAGTCATGGCATAGATTATAAGAGCAGTAAGTTTATGTGGGAGCTGTACAAGATTTCGGTTAGGCCACAGCTGGAGCACTGTGCAGTTCTGGTCACTACATTATAGAAAGGATGCGATTATGCTCGAGGGAATGCAGAGGAGATTCACTGAGACTGGGATGAGCAATTTAGTTATGAAAAGAGACTGGATAAGCTTGGGTTGTTTTGTTCAAAGCAGAAAAAGCTGAAAAGGGAGCTCTTGATTTGTATAAGATTATGAGGGATGTGGACAAGTTGGACAGAAAGCAGCTGTTTCCCTTAGTTGAATCATCAATGACAAGGCCGTAATTTTAAAATGCAAGGCAAGAGACTTAGAGGGGTTTTGAGGAAAAATGTTTTTGCCAAGAGGGTGGTGGGAATCTGGAAAGCACTTCCTGGAAGTGTAGTTGAGGCAGGAAACCCCAATCTTTAAAAGATACTTGGATGAGCAGTTGAAATATCATAATATTGAAGGCTGTGGGTCAAGTGCTGGAAAGAGGGGGTAGTGTAGATTTAGAGTAAATATTGTTAGTACAGACTCGATGGACTTCTTCTGTGTTCTATGATTTGATCATAAGTACGTACTTATACAGATTAGCTAATGTTCTGTAGTAGCCCAGACAATGAAAGTTTGGTTACAGAACCATTCTTGGTACAATATATGTTTGAGTTGTGAAGATACCTCTTGCATGAATCCAAAGATATTGGCTTAAAGCAGTTCTCGTGTTATTGTTTTTATACTTTACAATATTGTTGTTAAATGCTGTAATCTAGTATTATAAACACCATGTTCTGCTCTTTTGAAGATTTTGAAGTCAAGTTTGTTCTTTTCCTTTACATTGTGTTGAGATCTTTGTTCTCAACACAACATTAGTTATTTTGTAGTATTTTGCAGAGGTCCCAATAAGAGTCTGGAATTGCAAAACAGCATTTTGATCATTCGAATTTGAGAGAACAAAATGTATTTAGAAACTCTGCACACTACTAGCAAAATTATTTAAATTGAAATTCTGTTAACTTTCAGTATTTACATCAGAACTAAACAATGATTTACAAAACAAAAATGTGTTTTGGCCAACAAAAACTTAGATGGAGTCTAATGTTGAATAATCTACCATGAGAAAGAAATGCAAATACTATAGTTACTGCAAATGTGAAATTATGGGACTTGTATGATCTGTTAATGGATCTTTGCAAAACATACTTTTAAGTTTCTGTACAAGGCCATGAATTCATTTTATTGGCTGCAGAAGGTACTCCTTGCTGCATATTGCAGAAAGACTGGAATTTGGGCTGATTTGAATATTCAGAATAAATCTTGCCATTAGCCAATATGGTTCGCAATAACAGCACGAAGAGCTGTACTTCAGAAACACAACTGTAGTATTTTAGTGAAACGTTCTAGTATTAAGGAGGAGCAGTATAATTTTTGTCCATTTTAGATTGTTGAGCAAATTGTGCATTGAAATGAATAGAATATTTTTTCTGTTTCAGTATGCAAAATTCTGATCTAAATGAAAGACCATTTAAAACGATCAACTTCTCTTGCTTATACTATTTGATTCTATGTATTTACTGCTGAACAGGACAAATACAGAACATTCAGCTTCTGACTTTAATTGCATCTCAATTGCAGATGATTATGTTGCAATTGGAACTGACTGTGACCATATGGCAGCTCAAATTGAAGAAAATATCCTTTTTTATGTGAATATCCTCTCCAGATGATGTTCATAAGCTGTCCTCTGGAAAACATTCATTTGCTGAATGTTTGAGTGATGGAGTGTAACATACTGTCCTGTCATTTGCGTAATGACCATCACTGTTCAGAACTGCCTATAGTTCATGTGAGCTAAAATAGATTGAGTGAGATTGACAATGGGGTAGAAAGGTTATTTGGTGTAGGAAGTGGAGTGCTAAAGTGTATTTTTCTTTCGAAATGACGATTAATATGCTTTGTTGGAAGTACAACAGGGGGCTTTACTGTGTATTGCCGTCCCGTACCTGGTGTGAGCGTGCTGTGTACTAATTGTGCATTCAACATTGAACATTTATGCATTCCCTATGCTAACATTGCTTGTCTTTAGCACAAGCATACAAAATTCCATGCTTAACAGAAATGGGCTTTGAAATAAATGTTGAGAAAGTGTTTTTTTTTGGTTTGTTTTTTTATCAGCAATAAATTTACAACACATGCACTTGTCCAACAAAGATGTAGACCCTTAAGTCCCCATAAAACATGTCGATTGTAGTTTTTCCTCTGCAAATACAAGAATTAAAGATCAGGTCTTTTGCTATGCAAAGCTGAAAAACAAAAACTGGTTTACATAAAACAGTTTTTTATGTCAAAGCTTTGTGTGGGTGGAGATGGTAATGTAACATTAATTAATATGTTAAATGAGGAGCTAAAGCCAATGTATGTGTAAAGCTTTTTTTTTAGAAGACTAATTTCCAGCTTTTATTTCGAACCTCTGGTCACATTGACAGGTCAACTAAGACAAGTTAAAGGAAATTGTAAAAAGTATAACTGCAAATGAGCCAAAGCAGGAAGTATAGTGCTTTTGGTTGTCTCCTAAACCAAAGTTCAAAATAAACTGATATTCAGCGGCTTCTGTAATTGATTCTGTCTTTGACCAATATTCTTTGTAATTTGACACATTTTATGATGGAATTTGGTTGAAGTGTAATTATTCTGTATTTTGGCTATGACTCCTTAATTTTATTGATACTTGTATTCCAAGAGATGGGCAATACAGATATGAAATACAAAAACCGAGTCAGAAGCAGGATAGCTAACCTAAAAGATACCAAAAACCCCAATTTAAGGAAGAATGTTCTCTGTGGAAATATTTCAGCAGAACAAATTGCAAGAATGACTGCTGAGGTAAGGTAGTGTTATTATTGTAATGTTTTATTTCCCATTTAAATTTATGTCCTTTCAATAATGCAAAGATATGTATCAGAATTGCCATGTCAAACGGCTATTGGTCATTATAAACTTTGCTGAAAGTAGTAAAACAGTTTCAGTTGCCACAGGAGATTCTAAAAATGTACAATGTGTTGAGAAAACTTGCTCTAAATACATTATACCATTTCACTAATCTATAAATACATTGGGATTAAGTCCTGTTTGCATTAAAGCATCTGCCACTAGATGTTGCTGTCACACTATCAATGACGTGCAAAAAGATTTTCTAATGCTTGCATATTGGCATAAGGTGCTGTCTTTATGTAACTAATTTATATGGATTGGATTAGGCCTTTTAAAGATTGGAGTTGTTTCAATTAAAAATACTTTTTAATTTTGATTAGTAGTGTAATGCATTAATATAAACATTATTGAAGCTGAACGCTGCTAAACATATATTTTAAACAACAGTTTTAATGATTACATAATAGTATTTGAATACACGGTTCAAAAGTTTTATGAAGAGCAGTCTCACGCATAACAGGTGTTTTTGAATGTTACTGATATCTTTCCAGAAATTCAGAGTGATCTCTCAGGTCCATGTTATTAGGTGTTTATAATAATTACTTTGTCTGAAATCTTGAAGTAAAAAAAAATTAAAGTTTTATTTTAATCAGGGATGTTGTTGAATACAAATCAGATGTTAACTGATAAATTATACTTAGCCTAACGTTATTGATATTGCCTCTCAGTCAGAAGGTTGTAAACCCCACTGCATGGTTTGACCACATGCTTCAGGCTGACCCTTTTTAATGCAGTATTGAGAAAGTAGTATACGTTGTTAGAGATACTGTCTTTTGAATTAAATACAAAACCACAGCCCTGTTTTTCCCCTTGAGCTGATGTAAAAGATTCCATAGCACTATTCAAAGATATGGTGAGAGAGTTCCATTAATATCCTAAGTAATATTTATCCCTCAACTACCAACACTTTATCTGGACATGTATCTCATTGCTGTTTGAGGAATGCTATTGTGTGTGAGTTGGCTGCTATATTTCCCCACAATGTAACAGTGACCACGTTTCAAAAATGCCACATTGGCTGTAAACACCTTTTTTCAGATGTCATCAGGTTGTGAAAGATTTTATTTATTGCAAACCCTTTCTATTCCTTATATCCCTTGATTCAGTTTACACAGGTTCTGGCAAAGATTTGTAGCTCAGGTTATGGATGAAGTTGTTGACTTGCTTGCCGAATTTGGCTGGTTATCGTACAGACGTTTCGTCACCGTATTAGTAACATCATCAGTGCAGCCTCCAATGAAGCAGTGTTGTTCTACTCCACTTGGTGTTTATATGATCCGGTCTGTTAAGTTGGGTTGTGTCATTTCCGGTTCTGTTCTGCATGAGTTTGCGTACGGGGTCTAATTCCACATGTTTGCTGATTGCATTATGGGTTGAAAACCAGGGCTGTAGGAATTCCTGTGTGTGTGTCTGTGGTTGGCTTGAGCTAAGATGGTCACGTTGTCCCAGTTAAATTGATGGCCCTCATTGTCCAAGTGCATTGAGAGTAGGGAAAGTTCGTTGTGACATTTTGCTGCTAGCTGGTGTTCGTGTATCCTGATGGCTAGTTTCCTTCCAGTCTGGCTGATGTAATGTTTGTTGCAGTCACTGCAAGGTAGTTTTTTAAACCCTGTTCGTCCTGCATGTCATGGGTATGGGGTCTTTTGGTCCTTGTGAGTGTTTGTTGTAGTGTGGCTGTGAGTTTGTGTGCCACCATGATTCCTAGTGGTCGCAGGAGTCTCGTCAGTTATGATAAGTTCTTGATATAGGGTAGTGTGGCCAAAGTATTGGGGCATACTGTGTCCTCTCGGTGTTGTCTATCTAGTAGGCACCTGCAAGTGAAATTGTTGGAATATCTGTTAGCAAACACCTTGTATGTGTGCTATTCCTCCTTCCTGTGTAGTTCTGGTGTGTTACAGTGAATTGTGGCCTGTTTGAATAGTATCCTAACACAGCTTAATTCATGAATGTAGGGGTGATTGCTGTGGAAATTGAGGATTTGGTCAGTGTGGGTTGTGTTCCTGTGTACGGTGGTTTGGAACCCCCCTGTTGGTCATTTGTTCTACCCTGATGTCTAGAAATGGAAATTGATTGTCTTCCTGTTGTCTTGTAAATTTGATCCCAGTGAAAACATTGTTAATGATTTGGTGCGTCTCTTCTAACTTGGTGCGTTTAATGATGACAAACATGTCGCCCACATATCGGATCCACATTACATCGGCCAGACTGGAAGGAAACTATCAATCAGGATACATGAACACCAGCTAGCAGCAAAATGTCACAACGAACTTTCCCTCCTCTCAGTGCACTCGGACAATGAAGGCCATCAATTTAGCTGGGACAACGTGATCACCTTAGCTCAAGCCAACCATAGACACACACGGGAATTTCTAGAGCCCTGGTTTTCAACCTGTAATGCAATCCGCAAACATGTAGAATCAGACCCCGTATACAAACCCATGCAGATCAGAACTGGAAATGACACAAACCAACTTAACAGACCAGATCATACAAACACCAAGCGGAGTAAAACAACGTCGCTTCATCGGAGGCTGCACTGATGATGTTACACAGCATGGTGGCGAAACATCTGTACGATAACCAGCTAGCTCAGTGAGTAAGCCAACAACCTCATCAGTTTACATGTTTGACTTTGCGCTGTCAGTTAAATTTATGATCCCAAAAAAATATGGGCACACACTAAAGGAATGTTCAAGTTTATAGATTTAATCTCATTCTGAATCTATCCCTGTGTCTTGTAGTCCACTCTTTGTAAAGAGTTTAGTTCGTACTAATTTAAAGTTCCTGCTTTCCTGCCCTTTTGTGTTATTGCATTACTGTTGTGGTGCAAAATGTTGTTTCCCCTCTAGATACAATTTGAAATGTTGATATTTTTCCATATTCTGACTATTAAGGCTGTGCACTTCACACAAGTTGTACTTAATTACAGATGAATCTCTTGCCAGAGATTTGGATGTACCCTGAAATTTCACTGTTAATATTTGTTGTGACCTTTTTCAAGTGTTTAATGTGGAGGTGGTTAGGCACAGAGCAGGGGGTGCGGTTGGTGAAGCAAAAAGTATCAATATGGTTATGGTCACGGATGCAGGTTTATGTCACACCTATTTTTCTGATCAACCAGTTTAGAGATGTTATTACACAACTCTGGAGCAGATGGACTTGAACCCGGCCCTCCCTGGTCTAGGGCAGGGACGCTACTCCTGTGCCAGAAGAGGGCCTCTAAAGAGAGGAGGAGAGAGATTTGTGGAGATGCAGTGTTGTTGCCTAATGAACAAAGCTGTCCTTGTGTAGAAGCCACAGCCAGGGGCTGTTTGCCGTAAATTTGTCACACGTCTTTTGCCAACTTATTTCAGGTGATATATAAATGGCACCGGGCTGAAATACGTGTTGGGTCCTTTACTGCCACATACAAGCAGGTCTAACATCTGTAACATGAACCCAGCGCAACATTTCTTTTCTTTGAAAATGGTGACCTGTATCAGGATGACAAGTTGGCGTCCACAACTTTCCAGACTTACTTTTGTCTCCAATGTACTATGTTGTGCCCAAAAGCATGTCTAAAGGAATTTTTTTCACTGTTTTTGTTTCTTTGTATATACAAGCAGCAAAGTGAATAGATAGGTACTTAAGAATTCCCAACTGGATGAATATTTTAGTATCCTAACCTTCTTATGTTCTAAATTACGGGGTTAGATACCACATTTAACCAGAAATTAAATAGTGATTTAGGGTTGAAAACAGTTGCTGCAAGGAATTTGCAATACACTACATACTTAACCAATATTTCAATTCTTCTGTGTGTTTTTTTCTTTGAAAATCGGCTGTGACAATCAAAAGATGTAGTGATCCCACTACGCATGTTGGAGGTGACACCATTTTGAAATTTGCAACCCTGACCTCATTGTGATTTAAAAGGTGGCTGCCGTGTGATTAAGGTGAAGTAGAAATATAATTAAGATTTAATTTATCTTGAATAGGTGTAGAAAGATTAAAATATCCCTGTTATTCCCAGGCAATGGAATTTTCTCTCACTTTGAATTTCATGTGGGATCTTGAATAGAAAGGGGCGTTAATGGTGTTTAAAATAAACTGGTTTCATTCTGGATTTAGATATGTAATTTGATTATAGTCAAGCTCACATTCAAATAAACTAATGAAATTTTTAAGCAATTTGGAACCTGCTGGTGTCTGATGCAAATATATCTGTTTACTGATGTTCACCTTACGTGGAAATCTGTCCAGAAACATTGATTGATTATTTTTTTCCTCCCTTCCCTAAGTCTCAAAAACAAGCAAGTCTAATCTATATCTGTTCAGCCAGTTGCACTTCTCATAACTCAAAATCTGCTATCACTGATCATCATCCTGCCTTTTACAATTATATCAAAATGGATAAATGTGTTGGTCATCTCACACTTAAAAGACAATGAGCCTGAAAACCTGGTAATTATTTTGGAATTGAGTAACTTGGCAGCCATTTTAAAGTAGCTTTTATGTGTGCTGGCTAATTAAGAGTTGTCAAATCACTTAGTGGTATTGACACAAGAGCATTTCTTGGGCAGTAGCAGCAAGAAACAGACTGCAGTTACAGCTGTTGGGTTGGCTGGATACTGAACCATACTGAATTGCTCCTTGATATGCTTTTAACCAACATTAACTGTGTGACTTCTTGATATGAAGAAATATGTGAACTGGTAGATCACCACGGCTGAAAATCAACAGTGCAATTAACGTGTTTTCTACCAGGTAGGGATTTTTACAAAAGCGCATTCTGGTATTGTGTAGTTTGAAAGGATAAAATATCTAAATTGGAAGAATGTTGTAAATGAAAATTCATTCTGAGCTTTCTTTATAAGAGATTTAAAATCCATGTAACCTGTCTCAAATGTTTTATTTAAAATATTTTACCTTCTGACATTTTTTTCAACAAACATAAAGGAAATGGCAAGTGATGAATTGAGAGAGATTCGGAAGGCTTTAACAAATGAGGCTATCCGAGAACGCCAGATGGCCAAAACTGGTGGTACTGAAACTGCCCTCTTCACCTGTGGGAAGTGCAAGCAGAAGAACTGTACTTATACACAGGTAAGAATGATGTTGATATTATGAAGGCCAATTAAATAATCCTGAGAGTTTGCACATAAATTGCACAGAAGGATTTCTACATTAGTAGAACAGAACTGGAACCAATTCCTTTCGAGCCACCAATTTTAATAAATGAAATGCTGATACACATTTCATGCATCATCCTATTTAAGGTTTTTTTTTTGTTAAATGATTTTCATGAATACAAAGGATGATTTCTCCCCTTTCCGTGCCTCTTTGCATCAAAAGTAATTGCTCCTCTGGTTGAAGAAGCTGTATAGTGCTGTCCAGAAAAATATTGACTAGAAGATCCTATCACTTCTATCGCATTTTCCTGATTAACGTAATAGTGACATTGTGCCGGTGTACTTTCTAACTACAGTGGCTTACCGATGGTGTCATACGCCCGTTCTGGGTGTCGGAAATAACCATGTTTGTATCATAATACAGGAAGCTGTTGGAAGATGACAATGGACAAAGATTTTATTTGTTTTATTTTGTGCTTTGCTGAGGTATCAGTATGCAATGAAATAATCATAGGGTTCACAATGACTTAATACGGATGAATTACAGACTGAGTGAACAATTTTGTGACTTGATGCCTCGGACCATTTATTTGCTGTACAGTAAATATGGTTAGTTCTACTTCACTAAGAGGCTTTTTCCTCTTTTTAAGCATCCCAGGCAGTTGCCAGCATTGAACCAGAATACTGACCCCTACTAGCATGGTGCTGTATTGCCTTGGTGGTATAACAAAAGAGCTAGGTCTTCTTATGCTTTCTTGTTGACTATCCTTTTGCCTCATCCAGTGTTTCTTGTACCATGTATACAGCCTTTGAAAAGAGTGAACATTTCTGAATGCTCTGACATTTTATCCTATACATTTTTAAGTAGCTACTTGCTTTTGGTTTTGAGCCTTTTACGCTCTGTGCTTCCAACATTCTTTACCTCACCCTGCTTCATTTTCTATCCTCTGCAAACCTTAAGCTGGCTTTGCATCACTGAACAGAGAGAGATTTACATCATTGTAGTCGTTCTAATGATTTTTAGCTGGGATTACTGAGTCAGCCCAGAAGTACTTTTATACTGAATGAATCATGAGAATATGTAACCATAGTAACAAGAATGATGGTATTGATGTCCAGTGTGTACACCACTTTTTTACAGCTTGCAAAACTCCCTGTCCAAGTCAAAACTATTGAATCAATTCTTGTTAGGCCTATTGCTATCTTGTAATTGCTCCATATTTCCGAGTAGACCTTTGGTCAAAGACATGGACCACATTGTATTTTTTCATTTTGTAATTTATTTTCAAATCTGCTTCCAAATTTTTTCTAATCTTCAGATCTTCTAATCGAAGGCAATATTAGACAATTAAATTGTTTGAAGAAAATACATGGAATAAACATGACTTTTCTGGAGAAGTAGAAGTAGATTTGCCATATTATTCTCAATTGGCACTTCTAAATAAAATTGTTTAAACTTGAATAACAGGATAATTAAGCCACCATTCCTATATGTATTGACATATATTTTTCTGTTAGTTCCTTGTCTGTTGTAGAGCAAGCTACATAGAAAACAAATTTTGCTTCTTGTCACCAGGAATTCAAACTGTTCTGTAAGACGTGTTCAGGAAATGATTTCCTGTAGTTTCATTGCTTACAAGAATAAAAATGTTGCCCTTTATGAAGGAAGCCATTTTATGATTTATCTTTGCTTTTGTCTTTTTCCAGGTTCAGACGCGGAGTGCTGATGAACCCATGACGACATTTGTTTTTTGCAACGAGTGTGGTAACCGATGGAAAGTATGTTTTTCATATTGTAGTCTCGTAACTTTCTAAAATATATTGACTGTAGCCATTCATTAAGCTCTGGGCAGCTGAATGAACAAATGAAAAAGTACAGCACAGGACAGGCACTTTGGCCCTCTGAGCCTGTGCCGACCATCATGCCCTAATTAATCTAAAAACCATTTTTCGATCAGTATCCTTCTATTCCCCCTCCTATCCGTGTACCCATCTAGGTGCCACTTAAATGTCTTCAATGTGCCCATTCCACCACCTCTTCTAGTAGTGCATTCGAGGCTGTTACCACTCTGTGTGAAAAGTTTCCCTTGCACATCTCCCTTAAACTTCCCCCTCTGACCTTGAACCTGTGCCCCCTTCTAATTGAAACTTCAACCTTGGGAAAAGGCCTCTGACTATCCACGCTATCTATGCCTCTCATAATTTTGTAGACCTCTATCAGGTCACCTCTTATCCTCCATCTTTCCAGTGAAAACAATCCTTGTCTTTTTAACCTTTCCTCATAGTCAATGCCCTGGAGATCAGGCAACATCCTGGTGAACCTTCTCTATTCTCTAACCAAAGCTGCCACATCCTTCTGGTAGTATGTTGACCAAAACTGCACACAGTACCCCAGATGCAGCCTAACAAGTGTTTTATATAGCTGCAAGAGTTTTGCCAACTCTTGTACTCCACACTGCGAGCGATGAAGGCAAGCATGCCATATGTCTCCTTGACCTGCATGCCCAGGTCCATCTGAATGTTAGTGTTCCTAAGGGTTCTGCCATTTTACAATATAATTCACACCTAAGTTTGATCCTCTAAATGCATCACCTCGCATTTATCTGGATTAAACTCCATCTGCCATTTCTGTGCCCAAGTCGCCAATCTGTCTATATCCTGTTGTATACTTTGTCGTTGACACTACCAGCAACTCCATCAATCTTCGTGTCATCAGCAAACTTACTTGTCAGGCCACCCACATTTTCTTCCGGATCTTTTGTATATACTACAAAAACAAAGGAACACCACTAGTTACCGGTCTTCAGTCTGAAAACATCCTTCCACCACTACCCTCTGTCTTCTATGACCAAGCTGGATTTCTATCCATCTAGCCAGGCCACCCTGAATCCCTTGTGATTTTAGTTTTTGTACCAACCTGCCATGTGGGACTTCATCAAATGCCTTACTAAAATCCATGTAAACTACATCCACAGCTCTTCCCTCATCAATTATTGACGTTACCTCTTCAAAAAATTCAATCAGGTTGGTGAGACATGACCTTCCCTGGACAAAACCATGCTGCCTGTCACTGACGAGTCCATTTTCCTCCAAATGTGCATATGCCTTGTCCCTCAGTATCTTCTCCAAGAGCTTCCCCACCACAGACGTCAAGCTTACCTGCCTATAGTTTCCTGGATTATTCCTGCATTCTTTCTTAAACAAGAGAACAACATTCACTAATCTCCAGTCCTCTGGAACTTCACCTGTGTTCAACAAGGGTGTGAAGAATCTGCCAACGCCCCAGCTATTCCTCCCTCGCCTCTCTGAGTAACCTGGGGTAGATCCTATCTGCTCCTGGGGACTTGTCTATCTTAGTGCAATTTAGGATTCCCCAAACTTCCTCTTTCAATGTGCTGACATTCTGTCAAGTATTCACACACTCCTCTCTGACCTCAACGTTAGTCATGCCCTTCTCCTTGGTGAAAACCAATACGAAGTACTCATTCAGTATCTGCCCCACTTCCTGTGCCTCTCTGTATAACTTCCCTCCTTTGTCCTTGAGTGGGCCTACTCTTTCCCTTACCCTCTTTCTCCTAACATAAAAAGCCTTGGGATTCTCCTTGACCCTGTTTGCTAAAGACATTTCATGGCCCCTTTTTTGCCTTCCTAATTGCACATTTAAGTTCCTTCCTAATTTCTCTGTACTATTCCAAGGCTTCATCAGTTTGTAGCTGCCTAGACTTGTCGTATGCTTCCCTTTTTTTTTTGACTACCCTTACAATTTCCCTTGCCATCCATGGTTCCTGAATCCTGCCGTTCCTATCCTTTAGTTTTGCAGCGACATGCATATCCTGTACTTTAGTCAATTGGTCTTTAGAAGCCTCCCATATGCCAGAGGTAGATTTGCCCTCAAATAACTGCTTCCAATCATCATTCTCCAGTTCCTGTCTAATTTGGGTGTAATTGGCTCTTGCCCAATTAAGCACCCTCACCCGAGGGCCACGTGTCCTTTTCCGTGACTACTCGAAGTCTTATGGAGTTGTGGTCACTAAGCCTGAAATACTCTCCTACTGAAACATCAATCACCTGTCCTGGTTCAGAGAGAATGGCCCCCTCTCATGTTGGCTTGTCAACGTACTGCCTCAAAAAGCCCTCCTGGACACAATTACCAAATTGCACTCATCCCGACCTCCTGCCTCCAAGGGATTCCCAGTCAATAAGAGGATAGTTGAAGTCACCCACCACAACTACCCTGCTCTTTTCACACTTTTCCAGTATCTCACTACATATCTACTCCTCTGTCTCCTGTGGGCTGTTGGGAGGTCTGTAGAAAACTCCCAACATTGTGATTTCACCCTTCCCATGCCCACACCTCATGAATAAACTTTTAAAAATAAGCAGAGGCCAAGGATCAGTCTTTCAGGGTTACATCATATATAGCTCAACCTAAATTGCTGAAAATCAGAACTATAGCGTTACATTCCACCTACTTGAGCAGTGACATGAGGCTTGCTTTTCTGCACACGATTTTAAATTATCCATTCTAAAATATTAGGTAAATACAAAGAATATTTCTCATTAACAATCCTGTAGGAAAAAACTTTTAAAATGCCCAAAACATGTCAAACAGGGTCAGGCAGCATCCATGGAGAGAGAGCAAGTTAGTGCTGAGTCTAGATGACTCTTCATAGCTGATCATATGTTTGAAGTATCGAACTATGGGCATCAGCAATCCTCCTTATACTATTTGCGAGCACTTTGGTGGGTTTGTGCTTTTATTACATCACCTGACTCCTCAAATGATCTTTTTTAAAGCCAGGTTTTATCAGCATAAAGAAGACGTGACATTGTAGGTCAGACAATGCATGTTAAGTGTGAGGCCTCGTTTAGAATCTGTAGTGTTTTGGTTTGGAGTCAGACTGGTTTTATTTCTAAAGTAGGAACTTACAAAACACCACATTGCCTACACATTGTGTGTTTTTTGAACAAACCAGAATGAATCTGCAAGTACAAATTCAACCCCATAGATTGACATGTGTCTGTGTGAGAGAGATAGGGGGCAAGAGAGAGAATTCCAAGTTAGGATGGGTACAAATACTTCAGATGTGCTGGGCTGCTCCATTATTAATGAGGCTATTCATGTAGCCTCCACCTCCTGTTGGTTGTTTAATTGTCTACCTGCATTCATAACTAGATACAGCAGGGCTGCAGAGCTTAGGTCAGATTAATTGGGTATGTCCTGTCCCACTGGCAGAGGGTGGAACACTAGTATACAGTTGGGAGTTGTTTTATTTATTCATGGGATGTGGGTGTAACTGTAACTGGCTCAGCCAGCCCAGAGCAGAATTGAGAGTCAACCACATTGCTGTAGGTCTGGAATCATCTAGGCCACACCAGCTAAGGATGGTAGATTTCTGTCTCTAAAGGACACTAGTGAATCAGGTGGATTTTTGTTCTTTTACAATAATCAATGGCTACATGGGTGACATTATGTTAGTTTTTCTAGAATTTTTTTTATTGAGTTCATGTACCATGGTGAAATTTGAACCCATCTCCCCAGAACATTAAGTGGGGTTCTGAATTACTATTCCCAGTTCCACCTCTATTTCCATCAACATCTTGACTCCCTACCCTATGAAGACTCACTACTGAGAAGAAGCACTGAGTGTAACAAGGGTACAGGATGTATTCTGGGTGGAGGAATTCATGTCCAGGACCAAGAATAGCTCAGAAGCAGCAATACTGATTGACCCAAAAGAGGCCTAAAGACTGGGTCTCTGGCAGGTGGTGAGGTAACCAACAAGAAAACTTTTTGACGACCACCTCACCAACTTACTAATTATAGATGCACCATGCCAATAGGAATGACCACTGCACATTGTGGAGACCAAGTCCTGTGCTTGCACTGAGGATACCCTTTGTCTTGTGTGGCACTGGCACTATGCTAAATGGGACAGACTTCAAACAGCATGAGAACTGCATTCAACCACAAAATATAACCTCATATTTCCCCCCTCTACTATTAACATCTGGGAGATCTGCTGTAATCCAGTGAAAAATGCAGTAGGGCATATCAGGATCAGCAACAGACATACCTAAAAATAAAACATTAATCTGGCAAAGCTACAACACAGTATTCTAAACAGTGGAAACAGCATGCAACGGAAAGCACTAAGAAAGGGCTGATCCAGTGGTCGGACCTAACCTCTGCAATTGTACCATGTCTAGTTATGAGTGATGGTGGGCAATTGAACATTCAACAGGAAGTCCTGTCCGGGACATTGCAAAATATGATTTTCGGGCTGTTGCTTTACTAGCCTGAGTGACATCTTTCCCAATTTTGGCACAAGCCCCCAGATTCAAGAGAGGAGGACTGTGCAGGGCCTACAGAGCTGGATCTGCCATCATCCCTTTTGATGCTTGATAGTCCACCTAGTTTTATTCCTTTCTTTAGAAATTGTAGCAGTTTTTAATACAATTGAGTGACTTGTTAGGCCATTTCAGAGGGCGGTTAAGAGCCAACCACATTCCTGTTGGTTGGAGTCAGATGTAGACCAGACCAGGTAAGGACCACTGTTTTTAAAAAAAAATTGCTAGAGAAACTCAGCAGGACCACAGTTATCCATCCCTAAAAGACATTTGTGTACCAAATGAGTACTAAATGAGTTCTTGCAATGATAGATAATGCCATTAAGCTTAGTTTTAATTCCATATTTTTTGAATTCGGATTTCACCATTTCTATATGATGGGTTTCGAGTCCATGTGCTCAAAACATTATCTTCGGTTTCTGGATTACTAGTCCAGTGACATCAACACTGTAACTGCCTGCTCTTGAAGACTGAAGCCAGTGTTGGCCTCTGCTCCAAGCTCTGTTTTCTGGCTATCTGCTGCATTGCTATCCATACCTACAGTCAAATCGCATCAGTCTGTTTGCATTCAGTGTCATTTTTGAGACAGATATTTGGACTTGATTTGATTCATCAGTACAACCACCAATTTCCATCACCATACCATTGCGTGACTTCACCCCTTTCTAATCTCATCTGCTGCTCAAACTCTCAGTGATGACTTTGTTACCTCTAGACCCACCTATTCCAATGATGGTGTCCCAGACTATCCTCTCTCTAACTTTGAGCACGTCCAAATGGCTGCTGCCTGAGTCTTAACTCCTCGTTAACTCTGTCTGCTTGTCACTCCTATGCTCTTTCATTTCATTCGGCTCCTGGTCCACCAATATTTTAGGTTTAGAATTCTCATTCTTATTTTCCAATCCCTCTGTGGGCCTGGACCTTGATATCTATTCCAATTCCACAACTCTCTTTGACCTCTGTCCTTAAGTTCAGGGCTGTTTTGTATCCCCAGTTTTAATTATTCTACCATTGGTGGCCATGCCTTCAGTTGCCGAGGCTTCAAGCTTTGGAATTCTCTTCCTTTTGCCTCTTTACCTTGCTTTTTTGTTTGTAAAACAATTCTTAAGATCTACCTCTTTAACAAAGTTTTGGCTGTTTGACATATCTCCTCATGTAGCATGGTGTCATACTTTTGTTTTATAATGTTTCTGTGATATACCTTGGAACACTTCATTACCTTAAAGCTGTTATATAAATACAAGTTGTTGGCAGTACTAACCCTAACCCTACAGCAGTGTTTTTCCTTTAAAGATTATGGAGTCCAAATGGCAAAATTGAGGCTTTGCACAAGGGTTCAGTTAAGGTGCTGCTAATATTCTTGCTCTGCTATTTTGTACTGGGATGTTTTGAGGTTCAGTATGGTTTTGGTCTAGTGTGATATTTAGGAGGCCTGAGTTCAGAATCACAGAAGTGTTAGAGTAGAAGGAGGCTATTCAGCTCTACATACCTGCATTATCCTCTTAAATGAGCATCATTACTGAGTGCCAATCACCTGCTTTTGTCTCCAAGCCTTTGCATATAATTTTTGTCTAAGTGATCATCTAATGCTGTCCTTGCATGCCACTGAAACTGCCTCTACCAACTACCCAGGTAATGCATTCGATAGCAAAACTAGAATCATAGAATCCTTACAGTGTAGAAACAGGTCCTTTGGCCAAACAAGTCGGTTCCCTTGGAGCATCCCACCCAGACCCATCCTCCTACAATCCACCGAAGCTACACATCTCTGAACACTATGGGCAATTTAGCATGGCCAATCCACCTAGCCTGCACATCTTTGGACTGTGAGAGGAAACTGGAGCACCCGGATGGAACCAACGCAGACACGGGGAGAATGTGCAAACTCCACACAGACAGCCGCCCAAGGGTGGAATCGAACCCGGGTCCCTGGTGCTGTGAGGCAGCAGTGCTAACCACTGAGCCACCATGCCGCTCCAAAAATGCACTTTTTTTTTTTCTTTTTTTTTCTGATATCACCCTTGTTGCTTTTGTAGACCATTTTTAATCAATGCCGTCCTCTTCCTTTTACAGGTGGGAACAGTTTCTTCTTATCTCCGCTATCCAGCTCGCTCATGATTTTGAAAACCTGTAGCAGATTTTCTCTTAGCCGCCTTCTTTCCAAGAAGAGCAGTTCGAACTTCTTTGATCTATCCTAATAATTGAAGATCCTTATTCCGGAACCATTCTTGTTTTTACAGCTAATACCCTTATTACTGCCAAGCTACCCCACCTGCACCTCAGTCCCCCGTGGCAATGGGTGGAATAGTATTGGGGGCAAATTTAAAAAAAAATTCAATCTGGATTATGTCCTCCTCCATGTAATACTTGACACCATTTTCATGGAGGTGAATTTTCTATTGTCAGTGTCTGACCCTCAACATGCAGAACACTGTGTAACACTTTCCACATCAAGCAGATGTTCACCTGCACATCTGCCAGTGTGGTATACTGCATCCGCTGTACCCGGTGTGGCTACCTCTACATCGGGGAAACCAAGCGGAGACTCGGGGACCGCTTTGCAGAACACCTACGCTCGGTTCGCAATAAACAACTGCACCTCCCAGTCGCGAACCATTTCAACTCCCCCTCCCATTCCTCAGACGACATGTCCATCCTGGGCCTCCTGCAGTGCCACAACGATGCCACCCGAAGGTTGCAGGAACAGCAACTCATATTCTGCTTGGGAACCCTGCAGCCCAATGGTATCAATGTGGATTTCACAAGTTTCAAAATCTCCCCTCCCCCTACCGCATCCCAAAACCAGTCCAGCTCGTCCCTGCCTCCCTAACCTGTTCTTCCTCCCACCTCAAGCAGCACCTCCATCTCCTACCGACCAACCTCATCCCGCCCCCTTGACCTGTCCGTCCTCCCTGGACTGACCTATCCCCTTCCTAACTCCCTACCTACACTCACCTTTACTGGCTCCATCCCCGCCTCTTCGACCTGTTTGTTTCCTCTCCACCTATCCTCTCCTCTATCCCTCTTCTATCCGCCTCCCACTCTCTCCCTATTTATTTCAAAACCCCCTTCCCCTCCCCCTTTTCTGATGAAGGGTCTAGGCCCGAAACGTCAGCCTCTCTGCTCCTATGATGCTGCTTGGCCTGCTGTGTTCATCCAGCCCTGCACCTTGTTGTCACTGTGTAACAGGGAGCCTGGTTTAAGTTTAATATTGGAGCTCCTGGTTCAGGGAATGCTTTTTACAGTTCTTCTCTGGACACATAATGACTCCTTTGCTGCCCTCAACCTCTCCTCAGCATGACCACCTGCCCACAGCAATCCAGAGCATTGATGAACAAGTTGATTAGAAAATAGCTTTAATTCTCTCATTGTTGGCAATAGTAATAAAAATGCTAGAACATCTGAGAAAGTTGAGAGTTGCCAGGTCACAGGCAGGACCTTGGCATCAGTATTATTTTTCCTGCTATGCTTGAATTGAACCATTTCTCTGGTCTTGTCCCAGCTGAATCTGCACTGCTGTCTGATGTTGTGCACCAGTCCATCAACTTCCTACACTAGAAGAATTGCATCATCCAGATAGCTGGATTTTATATGCTAGCAAAGTAAAGTTGAAGTACGTACATTGAGGAACTTTGAAACCAGTTGCAGATCATCATGTTGAGCTCTGAATATGGGTTGATTTAAATTGATAAATAAATATTTGGAACAGAGATGTAAGTAGTCAGACTTAATGCTTACTCCTTTTGAATATTTCCACATAAAAAATTAACACACCAAGGTAATAGGCATTCATTAATCAAAGTATTAGATTGCTTCCTTCCCATTGAGTTAGGACTAAATGGGAGTTGTGTCTGGATGTCTGGTTGATCCCAGTAGTCAATCAGGTAAGCAAAAATGTGTGCATTAGAATAAGTTTGAATCTAATATGCGTGAGAGGGAAGAGTTAAACTCACATTTTAAAGGAAATCTACACCGGTTTACATGAATTCATTCTTCATTTCTGAAAAAATGTTATACCAAATTCAGATCATTTCCTTTGTTTTTCTCTCTCCACAGACGCTGGCAGACTTGCCAAGTTTCTCCAGCACTTTCTTTCTCTTTCAGATCACCAGCATGTGTAGTACTTTGCTTTTACATTTAATTCATGCTTTGTCTGTTAATCTAATTTAATATGCAACCTAATCAGATTCTATAAACGGATTACATGAGAAAGTGTTTAACACTATCTTGTTTATTTTTCAGTTTTCTTAAGTATTCGGAAGACTACTTTTGGAGATGCAGTTGGACCAATATATAAAATACCTAAATTATAAAGGATCATCATGTATATTAAGTCTCTCATTTTGTTAGATATATCACTGTAAATTAAATCTTTGCAAGTATATTCCTGCAGCTCAGCTGATGTAATCTAAACTTGTACTGTAATTGAATCTGTTAATTAATACGTTGTATGGTACAAGAAGTTGCATTTCACTTCACTGTTTTAAAACTTCTTTATATAAGTTAGACTTCAATAATGAAGTACTATTGCTTGTATGGGTCTGCTGAAATCATTTTTAATTAAAATGTGATTGTCCACAGCAGCCTATTGTTTCCAACATAGTATGCTTTTCGGTTTCTTTTTGCATATTGTACTGAAGTTTTAAAAACCTCAAAACAAATATTTTGTTTCATAAAATAAATAGGTGCAACTCTTGTGTATTTTATGTTGTCAGTAAGAAAGATTCACTTTCTACCAATAGTAAAATGTTTTGGGAGAAAAAAAAATACCACAGGCTTTTGGGAAAATGGATGTAATTGCTTCAATATGCCTTTTTTTTTAAAGAAAGTAGAATAATTTTCTTCAGTTCTCAATGCACCATAACTGCTAAAATGAGACTAGAACAAGAACATTTCACGAAAGATGCGAAATGCATTCCAATGACTGAACTAAAAAGATCATGCATGAAGTATTATGACAACTAGCTCTTGTGGAAGAGGAGTTGCTGTCAGAAATGTAATTTTTACTTTAGGCTTTGAGTGTGAACATCCAGTGCTCCCTTTTTATTGAAATGTTTCTTTTACTAATTTTAATTGTTGCTTTTAGAAACTGAGAGATGACTTTATTGCAGTTTATACAGTTTTCAATGGGAGAGAGTTAATTGCAATGAAGTTGTAGAAATGAGTTGTTTTGACCAGTGATTCAAGTGGGAGCAGGAAGTTCTGCCCTCGAACCTGCTTCGCCATTCGATACAATCTTGGCTGATGTCATCTTGGCTTCACTCCACTTTTTTGTGCCTGCTGTCCATAACTCTTCCCAACCCGTACTAATTAAAAAGTCTGTCTATCTCTTTGAGTAAATTTAATGTTGCAGTAGCCACCACATTCTGGGGTAGTGAATTTCACAGCTTCATTATTCTTTAAAAGAAGTAATTTATCCTTATGTGTTTTAAAATCTGGTACCTCTTACCCTAAAACTATGACCTCTCGTTTTTGATTGCCCCACATGAGGAAACGTCGTTTCCATGTCTGCTTTGTCAATCACCTTTTAGCATCTTATAGACCTCTATTAGATCTTTCCTCATTCTTCTAAACTCCAGAGAGTATAGATCCTTAACTGCTCAATGCTTCTTCATAAGCAAACCCCCTCTCCCTGAAATCAATGCAGTGAACATGTGTATGCACACAGACAATCTGATTTCTTTCATTTATTTTCTCACATGGGAATGATAGATTGAGTAAGGCTGGTTATGGCAGGGAGTGGCCCAAGTTCCTACATTAATGCATCAGGCTTCTGCTGCATGCATCCCCACAGCTCTTTTTGGTGAGAAACAGCCCTTTTCTCTATTTGATTGAGCTAATTATGAAAACATTTCAAGGTAAACTGTATATACCATTCAGCAAGGATGCTGTTTTAAATTCATAGTGAGATTTTTATATTGCAAAACAAAAGCACAAAAATTTGACCAAGTGTGTCAGTGCTAACTTTTCAACTGTAGCTACTTGCTTCCCTTTCTTACTATGCTTTCATGTTTTCAATTTTACCACCAAATTCCCTTTCAAATGACAATATGACCTTTCCTCAATGATCATTTTTGTGATAAAGCATATCATATTCTAATACTTTGTCTGTGACAAGATTTATTCTAATTTCCATCTTTTAATTAAAATGCTGATGGTTGCTGCTTCTGCAATCAGTAGGAGTAACTTTTTCATTATTTGTCCTACTTGAATTTACACTTTCAACAAAAAAGGCTATTCCCACCGTTAACTATCTGACATGGGGATAGCATGCAATATATGAGGTTGTGCTACCCCATAAAGGAAAGTGGCTATTCAGTGTGTAGACCAATGAGCAAAGGCCATTGTTCCCTTTATGCTGAATGGTTGCCCATGTAGCATCTTGTCCAGGTTTCCTAATATGAAAACAACCTACTAGGAAGAAACCAATCTGTTACAAAGCCAATTTTATGTAGGTGGAAGTTTGCAATAAATCACCAAAATTAATGATGTAAAGGACAGTGAAGGTGGTCATTTAAGATTGCAAAGAGATCTTTGATCATTTGGGTCAATGGGCTGAAGAGTGGCAGATGGAGTTCAATTTGGATAAATGTGAGGCATTGCATTTTGGCAAAACAAACCAGGGCAGGATTTATACCATTAAAGTAGGGACTTGGGTAGTGTAGAACAGAGAGACCTAGAGGTTGAGGTACATTATTCTTTTTGAAGTTTGTATAGATAAGGTAGTTAAGAAAACATTTAGCACATCTGCAGTCATTGTTCAGACCATTGAGTATAGAAGTTGGGACATCATGTTGAGGTTGTACAAGACATTGGTGAGGCTTGTTCTACAGTACTGTGTCCATTTCTGGTTGCCCTGTCGTGAAGGATATTAAGCTGGGGAGGGTTCAGAAGAGATTTACCAGGATATTGCTGGAAATGGAGAGTTTGTGTTATAAGAAGAGACTGGATATTCTGGGATTTTTTCTCCACTGGAGCATTGGAGGTTGAGAAGTGACCTTATAGAAGTTTTTAAAATCATGAGGGATACAGATATGGTAAATGGCAGGTGACTTTTCCCTGGGGTGGGGAATTTCAAGACTAGGCATATCTTTTAAGGTGAGAGGAGAAGTCTTTTTTAAAAAAAATCGATGAGGGGCAACTTTTTTACGCTGTGGTTTGTGTGGAATGAACTTCCAGGGAAAGTGGTATGGATACATTACAAAATTTAAAAGTGATTTAGATAAATACATGAGTAATAAATGATTGGAGGGAAATGGGCCAAGTGCAGGCAAGTGGGACTGGTTTAGTTTGGGATTATGGTCAGTTTGGACTGGTAACAAAGGGTTTGTTTCCATGTTGTATAACTCTATGACTGTGAGTTTCAAAACCATTTTGGGTGTAAAATCCTTGAAAATGGAAAAGGAATTCAGGAATATGAACCTAAGATCATTCAGGAGGGATTCTGAACCAAACCCCAAAGGTACCAAATGGATCCAATGCTGTTACTAGATAACAATGAGAGCACCTGCTAAAGTTAAAGGCAAATATATTTGTGACATATAATCCTAAAATTATTTGTAAGCGCAGCCAAATGAACAAACCCTTTTTTGTGATGTTAATAATGGCTTTGTTTGGACTTTTTTTTAAGCCTGTGCTTTAGCTGTGAACATGCATTCTCTGAAGTGCATTCTTTTGGAATAGTGAAACTTGAAGTGTATGTGAATGCACTGCAATATTCCATTTTGAAAGCAGTTTCAACTATCCCATTATCTTCAAAGTTAGATTTACTAAAGCATCTTGAGACTCCAAAGCTTTATGTGACATAAGGTGAAAGTCACTTGTTTTACTGTGGAAAGATCAGGAAGTATGAAATAACACTGAAGACCAAAATAGGCTAATTTAGTTTCAAAAACTGGAGAGGGGTGAGATTGCTATAAAAACAAAGGTATTATATTGAAGGACTAGTTTACATTTTTCTTTCTCCTCCTACACATGACTACTTCATTGGAAATGATGATTGCTCCGATTTAAGTTATAGTTCCTTTAACATAATGAAATGTCCAAGGAGCTTTATAATGCTTAAATACTGCACTGAGCCACATGAGGCAAAATGTCACAATTTGGCCTAGCTGGTCAGCGGGTGGGGGTAGGAAGAAAAATGAAAGGGTAATAACAATTGCAATTTTTGAGACTCTAGAATAGTGTTGTTTTTCTCCCTGATGCCATGGTCAAAGATGTCAGAGTGGTTGCATGATAGCCTCTTGGGGAGGAGGATCAGACAGAAATCAACATCCACATTGATACCAATAAAAAGAAGGACAAGGGATGAGGCCCTGAAAGCAGATTTAGGAGCTGAGGGGGTATTAAAAAGCAGGACCTCAACAGCAGTAATTTCAGAATTACTCCCCATGCCACCTGCCAGTGAGCATAAGATTGTTGGATTGGTTAATTGAATGAGGCTAGAGAACTGAAGTAGGAGATAAGGCATCAGATTGCTGAGGTATTGGGGAAGGTGGGACCAGTACAAAATAGGTGGCTTACTTTTTGACAGGACTTGAGACTGAGATTCTCACAGGGACATTTGCTAGTGCTATTGGCTTGAGTTTAAACTAGCTTATGGGGGGATGGTAGAAACTTGATGCACAATTCAATTATGAATGAAGTTAAGTTGGTAACAGGAAGTAGAAAAGCTACACAAACACTAGAACACAGGAAAAATGCGTCCAAGCATTGAGTAATGCTTAAATGCTAAATAATGTCAAGAAGACAAAGTTAAGGGCACTGTCCACGACAGAAATCTGGCTGCATTGTAATCTGGAGGGTGAACTGAATATTCGAGGATATTTGACCTTTAAGATGGGCAGTCAAGAAAAATAGGATCAAATTATTAGTAATGGAGGATCTCAGATCAAAAGAACAAAGAAAAGAGCAAGGGGCAGAAGACATTATTAACTGGACTTCAAATAGACCACCAAGTAGTTGTGTGGGGAATGGTATTAATCAGGCCAGAATGTAACATGGGCAACACCGTAGTTATGAGTATCTTCAGTCTGCATATAGATGCGTAAACCCATTTTGCACTAAAGCTGTGTAGGCCTAGTTATTATGCGTTAGGAATGGTTTTCTAGAGCAGCATGTTGAAGAATTGACTAAAGGGCATGCTATTTTAAATCTAATATTATGTAATGAAGAAAGGCTAATTAATAAGCTTGTAAAAACCTTTAGAGATGAGTGACCACAATATGCTAGAATTATGTTTGAAAGTGAGGTAGTTCAATGAAGCAGAATGTTAAAATTGAATATGAGAAATTATAAAACTTGAAGCACAAATTGGCAGAGGTGGATTGGGAAAATACATTTAAGTAGCATAACTGTGCATAGGCAATAGATAGAGTTTAAAGAAATAGTATATAGTTTACAGCAATTATACATTCTTTCAGGGTACAAAAACCTAAAAACGTTCAGTCAACCGTGGCTATAAAAGGAAATTAAGGATTGTATAAGATTCAAAGGAAAGGCTGGTAAAGTTGCCAGAAAAAGTAAATCTGAGGATTGGGAGGTTTTTAGAATACAGTAAAGGAGGACCAAGGAACTGATAAAGGAAGAATAGAAAATAATGTTAATTAATTTACAAAGAACATTTTTTTAATATTGATTCATCAGATGTGGGCAATGCTGGCTGGCCAGTATTTATTGACTGTGCCTAGTTGCCCTTGAGAAGTTGGTGATGAGCTATAGTCCGCCTGCTATGGGTTGACCCACAATGCCGTTTGGGAATTCCAGGATTTTGACCCAGCAACAATGAAAGAATGGCAACATATTTCCAAGTCAGGTTGGTGAGTGGCTTAGAGGGGAACTTGCAGGTGGTGGTGTGCCCTAGAATCTGTAGCTCTTGTCCTTCTAGATGGAATGGTCATGGGTTTGGAAGGTGCTGTCTGA